CAGATAACCCTCGTGTAGCTTTGTGCGAAATTCAAAACAAACCAAGATTTTTTAATTTCCACTGTTGTTCTTTGGTGGAGGAACAAGCAATATTTATATGATTTTCCATGTTCTTGTTTTCAGGAATCTTTTTGCTTACAGCACAGTTAATAATATTATTTTTGCCAATACTATAAAGATTTCTGACATCCAAGCCAGTAGATGTGTATTCTTAACACGCAAGTGCTTAGCTGCTGGAGTGTTGTGTATGTAATGAAGTGTTTCTAATTGTAGTGTCTGTGAAAGTACCAATTGACACTATCATTTCTGCCCACTGGTATCTTTGAATTCTACAAATTCTACTCTGCTTTGCAAATGTTTTCTGTACGCCACGAGGGTTGTGCTACTCCATTCCTGATCTACTGGATGATCGGTTTCATATTCATATCACTTGTCTGAGGATATTTCAGTTGGTTGTTGGCCTACATTAATTCTTCATCACATTTAGAGGTCTCATCTTAGATTCTGTTCTGTTCCATTTTAGGTTGATTGTCTTGTGCTTTCTTCTTTTCACAGTGTTTAGGTTGTTTTACGTTGTTTGGTAACATAGGGTCTTTAGGATAATACGTCAACGTTTTAAAGATTTTTTCCAAGACAGTGTATAACATAGGAGTTGTACCCTTGAAATCTAGATGTCTGATCTTCTGGATTGTGGGAATTCATCAGCCACTTGAATGATGCATGATAAGCTCAGCGTGTAAACTTCTGTATATATAAGTAGTAGTAGAAATGACTCAAGGCTTGAATACCAATTAATGTTTCTTACTGAGTTATACAATACATCCTTTCTGCAGGATTCTGCATCTTTTCATATGCTAATACAGAAGTAGTAGTGAGTTATTTCTTCAGTTTATTGAATGCCGGTTCACAATCAGATATCCAGAAAAACCTGTTCGTTTTTTTATTGTAGTTAGGCAGAGGACGAGCCAAAGAATAATCGTACATGACAGTGGTCGCGAGAGCACAGTCCAAGAAATCGTTCACCTCACGCAAGTTTTGTAATGACCAATTCTAAACATATTCAACCTGGGTTGGACATGTGGACATTCCCTATCCACTGACTATGTGCCCCATGAAACTCACCCGTTTTTGGAACAACCGACACTTCTTGGGGTTCAGCTTAAGGTTCTCTTCCTCAAGTGATCCTGTACTTTTATTAGCCACTACCATTGAAGGTCTTCCCTTGTGATTATGTCGTATAAGTAGATGAGTACGGCATTCTAGGGTAGTCCAAAAATATACGCATTCGGTTAGTTGTTTAAATGTAACAGAAGTAGTATATAACAGAAATGATAACACAACGCATTATCATTACACATCTGCAGTAAACGCTGTATTTGTCCGACTTGCGCTTGCTAATATCCACACTTGAAATGCAATGTTGAAAACCATTTTGACCCAGATAAAACACCCAAACAACATCGTATTTCATAGTTTGTTGTGTTCATGGTCCTAATGGTGTCATCCTTCTTAGTTAGGTCCATGAGAGTTCCTTTATCTAGTAATTTCTCAGGACAAGCTGAAGTTCTACTTTTATCAAGTCACTAGACGTAAAGTTTTTCCTAATTAATCCTGATATGAATATTTCACTTCTTGGTGGTACAATAGCTGTCCTCCTTGTTGCCACTGGAAGTCCAATCTCTGGCGTCCTAATCGCCATGTAATACCCATGGATTTCCTGATCATAAACTATGAAGCTAGCCTAACCTCACATCCACGTTTCAGAATGAAATGTGTACCTTATATGTACAATGCCATGTAGAGATAAGCTTCCCACAGGCAGGGTGATGTCCAACTCTCCTCTTGCTGGAACTTAGTGACCTTATGCTGATCGCTTCATTTCTGAAGTAAATTTCATAGCTGAACAATGATAGCTGTAGAACCAGTATCAAATAACATGTTCCAATGCTTCCTATCAATGCATCCATTGGTTTGCGAAATGTTTTAAAACAGTGAACAGCTTTCTTTGATAGACTGTTTAGGCAGAGTATTCATGATGAGTAAACTAGAATAGACGGCAACTGCCTGTTGTAAAAACACAAGTGTAGAATAAGACGTTTCGAAAGACTTTCGTCTTCTGGTCAGAAGACTTTAAAACGTCATCCTCTACATTTGTGTTTTTACAAGAGGCAGTTTCCGTCTATTCCAGTTTACTACACAGTGAACAGCTTGTTTCAGTTGAGGCAGACGAAGTATTCTCAGCTGAATTTCCTTAGGTCCAGCTAACTCCTGTTTTCCGATATCTGGTTAGATCTTTGCTGTTTCTTTGATCTGTTTGAAGTCTTAGACTCATCGTCAGAATGTAATCATCTTCATCGCAGCCTTGGCTGTAATGGTCACGTTTTCCGTGTTAGTTGTTTCCAAACACACAAAAATTCCTAGTTTGGCACGGTTTCCATGTTGATTTACTAATATCATTTGTTTTGAGGCTTCCAAAACTTCCCAGTCCAATACATGTAATTTCATAAACAGATTTCATGTAGAGAAATACAACAAAGCTTTATAATTAAGTTCAAATTGGAATAAACAGTTGCAAACCAGTAAATAAGTTTATATAATCTTTATTTACGCTGCAAATAGTAAATGAAATTAATTAAATATACATAGAATTAGTTTGCTTGAAGTTCAACACAAAGATACACAATGGGCTATCTGTTCTCTGCCAACCACAGGTATCGAAACCCGGTTTCTAGCGTTGTAAGTCCTCAGACATTCCGCTGTGCCACTGGGAGGCAGAGGATTAGTATAATCTCTGTTTCGGTTATGAACCAGTAAATAGAATTAGGAAAATATTTATTAAATTTATTAAATTTGCTATAATTTGGTCGAATTGAAAATACGAAGAAGTTCATTTGAAGAAATTCTGAATATTCTGATCACGTTACTGCTTTTTGCTATACAGAACAAGAATGTTTCATCTCCAAACTTAAATTAATTTCTTATACTGAAAAAAGTATATTTAGTTTTTAAAAATAAGTTTGAAATAAAGTATAATTAAACACGAACATGCGTTATTATATTGTATAAAACTATTTTTAAATAATAAACTAAAACATTGTTGAAGAGACAATCTTCTTAGTTTTTATTACTATTACATTGAATACTTGCACAACAGATGGCACTAGCGTAGCAGAGTTGTGGAAATAGGAAAAGAAAAAAAAAGCGGAGTACATTTGTTCGTTTAATTAAAAAAGTTAGGAGCATGAAAAGAACGTAACATAATTAATATATTTTCTTTAATACTTTTTCTTCTGAATTCGAACGATTTAAAAGAAAAAATTTAGTTTCTCATGGAATTGTTTCATGTTTTTCCATTTTGCATCAGTAAACCTGATGCACAGCCAAGGTTAGAGCAAAAAGAAAAAAAAAAAAACTCTGTTAACATATCGCACATTATTCAAAATCACTTTTATGTAATTGTACCGATTTCTTTCGCAGAGGGCAAATTACAAGAGCATTTTTTTTTTTTTCAAAATTAAGTCATGAAAAAAATACAACTATTTTGCATATACATTTTTATATTTGATATATTGACAACTCATCTTTAGTACAAACATAAATAAATTATAAACATGTATTTTTTTAAATTATTCTTTGGCACTCAGTATCAAAACAGCGCGATTCAAACTTTCATTAAAACATGAAAGTGCGAATCAGTAGGTGGATTATTTGAAAATAGGGAAGAATTAATTCGTATAATTAAATATAAAAACTTTAGAGACCAAAACGTGCACGGAGACTACTTCATTATATAACTGCAAAGAGACAGTTTCAGGAACTTAACCATAAGGAAAAACGACGCTGGTAAAAGTTATCAAAGAGATTAAGTCTAAAACTATAAGAAAACATGACATAGTCTAAAAAAAACTTCAACATAAACTCTTGCATGGTGCACCATTTTTACTTATGATATTAAGAAAGTCCAAGACTAGAATCAAAACTTTGAAAAAGGGAGATAATTTGTTGAATTTTCAATGGATTCAACAGGCAAAATAATCCCAAAGAAACAGAAAAATTTTATGGTTATCATGTTAGAAGCAAAGCCATTAGAAGTTAAGACAAATATTTTTCAAAAGGTCAAGGGATTAATGTGTAGTCTTTCAAAAAGAATTATAATACATTTATGTTTGTAAACAACCAATCATAGATAATATCCAACTCCGTAGTGGTCCAGGACAGACTTCAGTTCACGCTGCACAACTTGTTCTTTGGTTTTATTCTGGGATTACGACAAAAATTATCGCTAACATTATAGAACAGGTAACAAACATTTACAGCATATTAACACAATGTATTATGAAATAGTTTCAAAGTTCATAACCGTAATTTTGCACTGTTGCATATTTGTGAGTTGTTTTTTGTATTAATATATTGTATACTACATACGTCAGATGCTTTTTTAACACTTATCCTTTACTAGTACAAAACAAGAATTAGTAAAATAAAATATATTGTTATAAATGGAAAATAATTTCCAACAAAACAGTATTTACTTTACAACTTTCCAATGTTACATCCTTCAACAAATGTCCTTCGTTGGGTAACTTTGGGTTGTAGTACATTTATTTGATATTAATATATTAATCAACGATAAAGGTTACCTAATTTGAGCATAAAAATATGTAACATGTGATATCTTCAATATATTTTATAAAAACATTATCGTATGTGTGTACTTTTTAGTTATTTTAAATTATTTTGATAATAATATTATCATTTTATCTACCAATCAGACTTGCAGAATAATAAAGTGCGGTATTACCTTTGTGACGTCATAAGTGGGGTTCAATTGGGTGTGTGGTTAACGCAGACATTCAGAAAAGAAAGTGAATTTAAATTGTAGTTTAAAGGTGAAGCTGGGTTTTGTTTGGTCTATTTATTATTATTATGGTGTAATTGCTCCATTAGACGTTTATAAAAGTACAGAAGTGGCGGAACAATTATATTTCTGATTGTTGTTTCACCATCACGAATGCCGAAAAAGTCGGAAATGAATGGGCTATCGTTCAGTGACATCTGTTGTCTCTTTTGTTGTCCACCGTTTCCCTCTAGAATTGCTGCAAAATTGGCGTTTCTCCCACCAGAATCAACATATTCCTTTACTCCTGATGAAGCTGGAACGAAGTTCACTCTCAAATTATCAGATAGAGCAGAGTGGCAGTATTCACAGAAAGAATTAGAAAATTTTGAGGTGTTTTATACTCGAACGTCCAGAGGAAATCGTATAGCATGCATGTATGTACGTTGTTCTCCTAGTGCAAGATATACAGTGCTTTTCAGTCATGGAAATGCTGTTGATTTGGGACAAATGAGTAGTTTTTACTTAGGTTTGGGATCTCGGATAAATTGTAATATATTTAGTTATGATTACTCAGGCTATGGAATTAGTAGCGATAAACCATACGAAAAAAACTTGTATGCTGACATTGATGCAGCTTGGCATGCATTGAGAACAAAATATGGTGTGAGCCCAGAAAATATTATTGTTTATGGTCAAAGTATAGGAACCGTCCCAACTGTGGACTTGGCGTCGAGGTATGAAGTGGGTGCAGTTATTTTACACTCACCTTTGACCTCTGGAATGAGAGTTGCCTTTCCAAACACCAAAAGAACTTGGTTTTTTGATGCATTTCCAAGGTACATGTGTAATGTTTTATCATTTTTCAAGTGAAAATATATGACTTTTAGAAATCATTATACAGAACTAAGTTTTATTATATGCCAAGGCTTAAATATATGTATAACTTAGGACTTCATCCAAAACGTTCCTACAGAACTAATGAGCATGAAAGATCTTTATAGGAATAAAAATTTATTCTAATATAAACGTTCTCTCTAAAAGTAACTTTTAAGACCTTTAATTTTAACAAAATAGAACTATGTTATAGTTTGTTATTATATTGTAATATTTTAGGACCAGAACTTGGAAAAAGTAGTGTGGCAGAAGGCCATTTGACTAATATAGGACACCCCCACACACAAAGAAGATTATCTCAAACATAGCCTTTTGCATCCATATACCTATCCAAGAAAATGTTATAAGAAGCAAAAATTATGTTTGTACCTAAACCTTCAAGTCTAAGTACATATTTCCAGTTTTTTGATTTCCTCATGCAAACATATATAACCTATGGTCTTTCAAAGCTGCCTTTTGGAAATCCACCATTGAGAAAAGTAACAATTGAAATCCAGTCTTTGTTCTTCAGAAAATAATTGGTTCCTTTCTTAAACTCTTGTAAAGTAGTAACTTCAACAACTTCCAATGGCAATTCATTTCATAAGTCAGTCACCCTGTTATAAAAATAGAACTTAAACTCTTGTAAAGTGCTAACTTTAACTACTTCCAATGGCAATTCATTTCATAAGTCAGTCACCCTGTTATAAAAATAGAACTTAAACTCTTGTAAAGTGCTAACTTTAACTACTTCCAATGGCAATTCATTTCGTAAGTCAGTCACCCTGTTATAAAAATACAACTTAAACTCTTGTAAAGTGCTAACTTTAACTACTTCCAATGGCAATTCATTTCGTAAGTCAGTCACCCTGTTATAAAAATACAACTTAAACTCTTGTAAAGTGCTAACTTTAACTACTTCCAATGGCAATTCATTTTATAAGTCAGTCACCCTGTTATAAAAATACAACTTAAACTCTTGTAAAGTGCTAACTTTAACTACTTCCAATGGCAATTCATTTCATAAGTCAGTCACCCTGTTATAAAAATACAATTTAAACTGGAGCCTAGTCTATTTTTTACAAATCTTAAACTCATGTCCTGCCTACCTGTTATCTTTAAAATATAGCACAAAGACATCAGAGACCTTTATTCTATTGATCCCCCAGATAATCATGTCATTTTCAATAAGATAGCCTTATACCCTTTTTTTCTCAAGAGAAAATAAGTTGAGATCTTAACCTATAAGATCACCCATCCATCTCTGGAAACATCTTATTACTAGTAGATCTCATCTTAACCCTATCCAATAAGTTTATATTCTTTCTTAGGTAAACAATATTCCAAGTGATTTGAATAGAGGTTATTACCTCTTTTGAGTGGTAATCAGCATGTTTATAAATTTACATAAAATTATATTAATATTACTACTAGCAACAGAAAACTGCTTTGATGGCTTGAGTGACAAATTCACTATTATAAATCAGAATTATTTATTTCAGTAATGTTTATTGAATTGGTTTTGATTGATATTAAAATTTATGGCAATCCAAATACATTATTTTGCACTAATTATAAAAATTATTAGGCAAATGTTGATCCATGTCATTCTGCGATTCCTCAGTACAGCTAGGAGTAACCGTGTTTTAATTATATCGAAATAACTAATAATCTTGAACACCTAACTCAAGTATGTTTAATTCTAGAAACAAAGTTCAAAACTTTAAGCCTCTATTGATAAGTAATCAACCAAGTATTATTATAATAGCCCACATTTACACTTTTCATGTGAATATCCTTTTTGCTGTAAAATGACCAATTATGTAGGACAACTCAAAACAAGTCTTGTTCAGATTGCTGAATATTTGTTATAACATTTCAGTCTTATAAACAAGCTTACCCAAAATATTCATTTCTCTCTACTGTTGTGTTTCTCGTAAACACGAAGCAACTTGGATAGGTTTGGAGAACACTGACAATAGAAATTACTTTGAAATTCCAGGTTGTATGTTATGTGATATGATAGAGTATTTAAGAGTGGTTGCCTATTTGTATAAATACTAAACTGTTAGGATTGAAGACATAAACATGGTAGTTAAGAGGTTGAACCTGTATGGGTTACAGATTTCAAAGGTAGTCCGTTTTTTATTGGCATTTTTTATGTAAAGGCCACCTGATCAGAGATGAGATCAGGGTTTCTGCTGACAGAAATACTGATGCAGTAATTAAGGGAGCTTTTAGATGTACTACTGTGTATGACATAATGTTATACCATAGATATATGCAGCAGATCTCCACCAATAGGAGTGAGACACACAACTCCTATTATAACCAATACCCTCTTCACATTTCACTACTTAATCACTTCTCAATCGGCAGTGGTATTGTATAGACGTGCTGGTTTTTGCTTGTGGATTTTTCAACATTTTTCCTTTATACTATAGACTTAGTTTTCTTAACTATTAATTTAAATTTATGCATTTTGAAATTGTGCAAGGTTGCTTTTTCCAACTTTTTCTTACTTTTTTAGGAGCTCTCTTGTTTAGTGTATTGTGGATCCCACTCTGTGACAAGTGGTGGCTGATCAGGTATATTATTTAAAAAAAAAACTGCCCTATCCATTCTGTGACCATAGTTGATGTCAATTACATTGTAGCCTTTCCTACCTTGCACCTGATGTATAATTCCAGATGCTGTCAAGTGTTGGTTATGTGTCTCCATTCTATTGTTATCTATGCTCAAACAATAATGTTCCATGACTGGGCTATGGGGTGTTCCGTGGCACTGTTAGTAGTTCTCTCTAGTGGTTTTTTGCTTCTTGAATATGTTCAGCCCAGGACCTTACACTCATGGACTAACATCAGTAAAGCAGACACAGGTTGCTGCCCATTTCTGATGCTCTGCGGCATTGAGACTCTTCCTACCATGAACCTGATGTCCAATTCCAGATGCCATCAGGTTTTGATTTATTGAATCTTTTGATGTAGTAGCTCTGCTTCTGAAAATAGGGTGTCACAGTCACCCGTTGCACTGTCTCCAGTGATGCAGTCCTCTGGATTCTCCAACATGTTTTTTCACCCTTTTTTCTAGTGGAGTATGGGAGTCCTTACCACTTACCAATGTTTCTAGTTGCTGGGGTGGTAAATAGAGGCCTGTCCTCCTGAGTAATAAATCATACCATTCAGTTGAGAGTAGGGTGGTGGCATTCTACAGGTGTCAATGGTGTATTGCACTTCCTTCCTGATGTACAATTCCTGATACCACCAGACTTTGGTTTTAGCACTACTCCATATTACTGTCTATATATCTGACCGATTGCTTTTTCCTACCATGGCTTTCCTCCTTACTACCATCCTCTGAAGGTACATTCCAGAGGGATCTGGTGTTGGTTGTAGATGGTCCATTCATGATTAGAATCATATCAATGGCATGATGCCCTTCATACTGTGGACCTGATGTACAATTCCAGATGCTGCCAGGTTTTGGTTGAAGAACTCCACCATGTCACAAATGTGAGTGTGTGTGTGTGTATATATATATATATATATATAATTGCAGTTTGCCCCTCAGGGTAAGACATTCCTCCTACCTACCATCCTCTGGACGTACATTCTTAGTGAGTCCGGTGTCTGTTGGAGATGGTCTAGCCAAGTAAGTCCTCACAGGTGTGCTGGCCTGTATCACTCCTACCATGGACTGGATGACACTTGCCAACTCCCACCAGGTTTTGAACTGGAGATGTACCCCAGGTTTGCAGTCCCTCTTCCTACTGTCTGCTGGATGTCAGTTCCTGGCAGATCTTGTGTTGATTGTAGCTGGATGAAACACATTTTCCTGCTTGTGCATGGTTGGGTATTCTCTTCCTACTGTGAACTAGAAGTACCATACCCATTGCCGCCAGGTTTTTGACTGGAGATGTCATCCTCCCAGGGCTTTCCACCTTCCTACTATGCACTGGATGTTGGTTACAGGTGGATCTGGTGTTGGTTTTGTTGGAAATGTGCGCAAGTGTAGAAAGATTTTGGTACGGAAGCTTGTCTTCTCCTACCAAATCCCATTTCAAGGTGAAGAGTTAGGTGATCCTTTACCTACCATGAATCTGATGTACCATTCCAGATACCTCAAAGTGTTGGATGAGGTTGAACTATCTCTGTGGTCTGTTGCACCCTAGCCACTTGAAACCCAGGGGTCCCATTAATGAATTGTACATATCCTGGGATTTCTTCATGATTTTCCACCTTTAATGTTCATGACACTGTCCTAAAAGAGCGAAGAGTATACCTTAATCAGATGTGGTGCAGTCTCTCGATGATGTTTTCTCGTTTGGTTCCACACCTCATGGTCTCTCTTTGGGCACTTCCTAAAGGGGAAAATATTTTCATATGCCCTCCACCAGTTCAGTGTGGGATTCTAGCTATTTTGTGAGAACAGGTAAGATATCATATAGGAAATAACATTTTCCTAAACTGAAATTGTATTTCCAATAGAAACTTACCTTCTTTCCCATTTCTCACCCAACTTCCCCACTTCTGGTGATATATGGTATAATAAGTATTCTGTGAAGAGAGTGCTGGTTATGATTGGAGTTGCATCATGCTCTTGTTGATGGAGAGCTGCTGCATGATCATTTGGATGGGGGAAGTAGAAGGCTAGTGGTGAGCATTGAACATATGTGCCAGTAGAGGGCAGTACTAATCAAGAAAAGCTATTTTGTGAGAGAATGTAAGTATCTTTCAGAAATACATTTTCAATGTATGAAATTGCTAACTTATAAATATAATTTGGATGGGAATAACCTTAACAGTGTCATTAAAGAAAGAGATATTGGTGTAATGGTTGATCAGTCTCTGAAGCCATCCAAGCAGTGTGCTGTTTCTAATGGTAGAGCAAATAGGAATTTTAGGTTGTAGCTACAGAAAGATTGAATACAAGTCTAAAGAGGTTAAAATTTCATTGTACGGGTCACTGGTTAAGCCTTATTTGGAGTATTTTGTTCAGTCTTGGGTTGTTTACCTTAGGAAGAACATTGAATTGTTGGAATAGGTTCAGAGAGGGTTTACTAGAATGGTTCCTGGGATGTAGGGGTTGTTATTAGAGGAGAGGCTGAAATCTCTCAAATCATTTTCTGTTGAAAAAAGAAGTTGGGGAGGATCTGATTGAGATGTTTAAGATTGTAAAGGGAATTGATAGTGTTTATGTGTCATCTTTTTTCATATTTAACAATGACAATAGTAGAACTAGGGGCCACAAATATAAATTTTGGCAAGGTAGGAGTCATCTTCAGCTAAGACAGTTTCATTTTTCTAACAGGGTGATTGACCTTTGGAATGGGTTGTCTTCAGATGTTGTAGAGGCAGTAAATTTAAGAGAGTTTAAGAAAAAGCTTGATAAGCATGTGAATGATAAAGGCTGGCTTTAAGATTTTTTGTAAATTATTATTTTAATTAATTTTAGAGGATGGAACAGCAGTGATGGACCAATAGGTCCATGTTGTCCCAAGACATTATGTTATATTAGCAAGACTTGCAGATTAGGTTCTCGGTATTTCCTGAGGATGTTCAGGTACTACAGAATGATGAATCAACTAGTTAATTGAATAAATATTTGGCAAGTAAAGTTAAGTTCAAGATAATACATTTTGTCTGACATGACCTGTTTCACATATTTACTATAGAAAGGAAATATCTCAGTAGCATTACTACAGCAAAGGATTTTTTCATAGTGATGGATAAGTTTCTCCAGCTATTGAAATAGTGTAAGTAGTAAAGCCAGTAGAGTTTTATGGTGTATTTATAGAATTACAAGTCAAAACACGCAACTACCTCATTATACATATCACTAGTTAGGCCTCAGTTACAATACTGGATACAGTTTTGGTCTCCTTATCCAATAAACGATATTGGCTTATTGAAAATGATTCAGAAAAGGGTTTCTAAGATGATTACAGGGATGAAAGAGTTATCTTAAAGTTAAGATATATTAACTTATTTTATCATCAGAAAATAAGTGCTGTGAGATAGCCTTTGGATGTTGTGGATACGGTAAATTGAAGTGAGTTTAAGAGAAAGCTTGATAACTATATCAATAATAAGGGCTGGCCTTAAGATTTTTATCTTTTAATTAATTAATTTAATAGTTTAAAGGATGGGTCAGCGGAAATGAACCAATAGGTTTCTTGTTGTCCTTAAACATTGTTATGTTATAGCCCAAAAGTTGATGGTGGGTGCTGTTGGCCAGGTTTCTTCCTTGTGATTAGAAGCTCAAAATTAGGGATGGCAGCAGTTAACCCTAGTAGTTTTGCCCCCCCCCCTCCTCCTTTATTACTTTGCACATGAAGCATCAGACTTGTGATAATGACTCACGAGTCCCAATGTGGTTATTTGACAATTGTCAACGTGAACTACATGTTACTAGTGTTGCTGTGTATTCTGTTTTAACACATGTTAGTGCATTTTAATTAGTTAATTTTCTAATTTGTTATGGTTTATACTTATTGTTTATGATTATGAATTTCAATATTAACACTAAAATAATACAACTGTTTTGAGTCTATTAAATATAATTTCTTTATGTAGTTACATTTTCCAAGCAATGTCCTATATGACTAAATTTAGTGGATTTTTTTTGAAGTGGCTAAAATGTAAAAAAAATTGGACTGGAGAAAATTTGACCAATCCTGCCAGTGATACTCTAACATTGGAATAATGGCAAGTAAGCTTATTTTTCAGTATGCTATGTTTATCTTTAAATAGGACATTGGTTAAATAACTTTTTCTATAATTTTACGTTTACCTGCCTAATAAAGAAATATTCTTAGTGAATCTTATTTTTATCATGTTTTTATTCTGACCTACTAGCATTGATAAGATTCATAAAGTGACTTCACCAGTACTGGTAATCCATGGGACTGAGGATGAGGTGATAGAATTTTCTCACGGTCTTGCTATTTATGAGAGATGTCCTCGAGCAGTGGAACCACTGTGGGTGGAAGGTGCGGGTCACAACGATGTTGAACTTTATGGACAATACCTAGAGCGTCTGAAGCACTTTGTATCAGTGGAGCTGGTTAACTGACATCAGGATAACTCTAGTGTAACCAATTTAAAGATTGAACCTGATAATCATGCTCCTTGCTAATAATATTGTGTCAAAAACTATAGATTCCTGAAAAAAAAAAATTATGATTCTTGTGCTTTGTACATGCAAGTACACGTACATGACTATTTCAGTCTTTCTTCAATACATTGAAATATCCAAGTTCTCCCAGTCTGAGACAAAAGCTTAGGAAAGGTTTGGAACAGAATGAATGAAGACTGAGAGTTATTTACTTGCACCTGAAAGATGTAGTTACTCATCTGTTGTCTCTATTTTGCGTCTGTCAGCTCGGCATTAAGAATGTGCAGTAAACTGTGAAAACATGTATTTGTATTGTACGTTCTTTTATTGTTTAAGAATGATAATTATTGTGTTACGTTTGAGGGATCTCCTTCCAGTGTCTAAAACTTATCTGTTTTGATTCACATGGGAATATTACGTCAATAAATATTTGGTCGATAGTTTTTGGATCCTGTTTCTGGATAAACTGACAGTTAACATAATGGATTGTTTACGAAGGTTTTAAGTTGTAACAAAAACTGTTACATACTGGTTGTTTTTATAATGAGGAAGTGTAGTATAAAAATGACCAAATGATTTATTAGTGGTACTAGGTGTTAATACACTGGCCACAGTTTATTAAACTAAGCATGTTAAGTTGTAATAAAGTGAAATGTAAATAGAAGAACAGAATCATGCTTTGAAAACAACCATAATCTGATTATTACCAAAGTCAAGATTCTAATAATCAGAATATACTAGAACAAATGCTATCCCAACAATGAAGTCAATACCTTTAGAATAGTGATTAGGCTTACCAGATTTTGGGTTTTTATTAAACCTAGACATTTGAAGTATGAACTGTGTTTAGAGGAAAGTTGACTAACTTAATTAGTTTTTTTTCAGTATGCATGTAAACAGAATGGTTGTGGAAACTTTAGAGGCCCCGGACATACAGAATGGTTGTGGAAACTTAGAGGCCCCCGGACATTCTTTCTCATGCTTTTTCCATTAGTTACTATATTTTACTCATTGTCTAAGTAATAACTTGCTTGTTTTTCCAGCTTAATTTGTATTTCCATTATGTTAAACCTTTGAAAACAAAATGTCAGTATTATTCTTGTTGTATTAGGTACCAATTTTAACTTTTGATCAGAGCAATCTACTTACTTAGACCAAAAATAAACATCAACCGGGTAGTGAGAATAGCTAATTAAATATACCTACAAGTGTAAGAGTCCATTGTAGCATAAGATGGGAACCTTCACTGTTAGTGATATTCTGTACAAGAAGACAAATGTATTATAATGTAGCAAAAGATTGGGTTTAATATATAGCTTGAAGAATTAAAATTTATCTATGAAGTGGTCTGATGTAGAGAACAATATCCTGCTTAATGTGTGTGAAAATCAACCGGAAAATGGTTAGAGATAATGAACAGTGTGTGTGAAAGGTGTAAAAGTCAGCTGGAGAGTGAACAATATCCTGCTTAATGTGTGAAAATTAACTGGAAAATGGTTAGAGATAATGAACAGTGTGTGTAAAAGGTGTAAAAGTCAGCTGGAGAGTGAACAATATCCTGCTTAATGTGTGAAAATTGGCTGGGAAGTGGTTAGAGATAATGAACAGTGTGTGCGTAAGGTGTAAAAGTCAGCTGTAGAGTGAACAATGTGTGCATAAGGTGTGAAAATCAGGTGGGAAGTGGTTAGAGATAATGAACAGTGTGTGCGTAAGGTGTAAAAGTCAGCTGGAGAGTGAACAATGTGTGCATAAGGTGTGAATGTAATTAGAAGAACTGGGGATAAAAAAAGCGAAATTATTTAACAATAAGAAACTTGTACAATTACAGATCTGTTTAACTTTGTGTCAGATATGTGAAGTAATCATTGATAATGGATGTAGTGGAACAAGAAGGTAAAGAAACAACACAAAAACTGTGAAATAACCTGAATCTGTAGCTCTTAACGGAACTCTTTAAAAATAGAGTTAACACCAAAAGTGCAGGTACTGTGTTCTGGTATTAAAGATGAGTCTAGAGGTTTTATGTGGGTCGGAGTCATCCACTAGACATATCACTATACCACTTAATCATTCTTAACAGTAGATGGAGCTATTTGTTTATCAGTAAATGTTTGCATTACAAATGTGATTGAGAGCAATGTAAACTACTGTGTTTTTTGTAAATTTGTTTCTTATTTTTGTGATGGTTAATCCTGTTCCATCAGCATGGAATGTTTGCACTCTTATTATTAAATATTTACGAAAAAGAAGATTTGGGGAAGAATTTACTCGTGCATTAAAATGTTGTCTTATTGTACTTGGGTCTGAAATCTCAAGCTTGTATCAATAGTGATTTATTGCTACTAATAAGTATTGGCAGCATGTTCATGTACGAAGATAAGAACTGGTATCGTTAGACAGTGAAACCTTTTCCGTGTACAAAACACTCAACGGGAAAGAAGTATTTGACTGAAATGTAAAAACATCTTGAATAAAACAAAATATACACATCTTCAGTTTTTCTGTTGACACTTTGTAAAAGTAACATTTTTAAGTGTCGATTTTCTAATGAGGCTAGTTGATATGCTTAATCTTCAGCAGTGTAGGTTATGTCTGTGTCATAACACTTTAACTGGAGGTTAGTGACTTAGTGACATGGTATCTAACCCTCAGTAGTGTAGGTTTTGTCTGTGTCATAACACTTTAACTGGAGGTTAGTGACATGGTATCTAACCCTCAGTAGTGTAGGTTTTGTCTGTGTCATAACACTTTAACTGGAGGTTAGCAAAATGGTATTTAACCCTCAGTAGTGTAGGTTATGTCTGTGTTATAACACTTTAACTGGAGGTTAGTGACATGGTATCTAACCCTCAGTAGTGTAGGTTATGTCTTGGTCAACACTTTAATTGGAGGTTAGTGACATGGTATCTAACCCTCAGTAGTGTAGGTTATGTCTTGGTCAACACTTTAATTGGAG